TAGGCCCAGGCAAGGGACCCCTAGCTCCCGGGACTGCCAGCTTCGACCGTGCCCAGCTCCCATCACTGGCTCCACCCCTACTTCCTGCTATCACTGGCCAGGGCGGCAAAGGCGCCTGATTCTCCGATCATGGCTGGGGGCAGGGCAAAGGCGGCCCCAGGGCCGCCTTTGCCCTGCCCCTCACCTCTTAGGTCCCCCCTGGGTTTCTGATCACTGTCAGTGGCAGGGGGCTTCTTCCTGCTTTCCCTTCACCTCCCTGCATTGTGCCTACATATGCAAATTAGCCGCCATCTTTGTTGGCAGTTAACTGCCATCTTAGTTGGCAGTTAATTTGCATATAGCCCTGATTAGCCAATGAAAAGGGTAGCGCCGTACGCCAATTACCATTTTTCTCTTTTATTAGTGTAGATAGGCATAGCCCATGGACACAGGCAATAAGGTAGGGCAGACATGAGGGTAGGGACTGGTAGGATGGAAGTAAAGGGGGGGAGAGTAGAGATATCTATGATACTATCAACAATAAAAAGTTTATTTTTTTAAAAAGAAAACAAAAATTTACCCTTTAAGAGCTAGCATAGGAATATACTAGAGACGTGGTCTGGGGATGAAACCTGACATGGATTCAAATATTGACCCTTCGTTTAATAGCGTATCACTTTGGGAAAGTTACTTAACCCTTCTGGAGCCTCCGTTTTCTCGTCAGTAATGTGAGATTAATAATTATAAAAAATGCTCACTTTCATACAGCTAAGATGCAAGGTTGAACATTTCAGCAGGGAACTGGAAACTATAAAAATAATGTAGTAGATTTGGGAAAGAATCACATAAAAATTGTAGAACTGAAGAATGAATGAGTATTTCCAGTTAAAGACAACAAAGCAAACACAAGCCTTTCCCTCTGCAACCTCCTAAACACCCACTAAAATGACAATGAATGAATCATATAATAAAAGCCTAATATACAAACTGACCAAACGACTGGTCTCTATGATGCGCACTGACCACCAGGAGGCAGACACTCAACGCAGGAGCTGCCCCCAGCCTGCAGACCCCAGGCCAGCCAAGGCAGGTGCCAGCAGGGGCCCCCCCAATCGCCCCACAGATCGGCCCTGATAGCTGGCCAGGCCTAGGGACCCTACCCGTGCATGAATTTCATGCACTGGGCCTCTAGTTTTAACATAAATAAGGCTCCTGAAAACATGAAAAACAGAAGTGACAATGGCAACAAAAGTTTGGAAGCTAAAAAGCAGATAGATGAATATTCAATGTCTTAGTAGGCCCAAGAAAGCTGAGTATTAAGCCAGCAGAGGCGAAATCTGAGAAACAACTCAGGAATTACTAGTATCAGGTGTCTTGAGAAACAGAAGTAAATATGAGGCTGAAAACAGGAAGACTGGTTGAAAGTCTATGTTAAAAGCACTTTTTAACCCACCAGCTCTTCTGTCCAACACCTTGCACCCAGACTACACCCCTCCTTTACCAGAAATCTGTAAATTTATTCTCTAAAAAGGGTAAAGCCGGGTTTTCTGGCCTGTGGAGCCCAAGCACAGTTAAGGGCAAGGCCACCCAAGTGAAAATAGTATATCTAAGTATGCATTTCTCTTCCTAATCTCCTAATGCTGCATTGAAGCTTGATCGCCCACAGGCAGGAGAATGGAAAGTTCTGCCCTGGAAATCAGAGGAACCCAGGAGAAGAGACTTAACTTCTCTAGTGAGACAATGTGGCCAAGTCACTCTGGGGCTAGGGCTCAAGTTGGCAAGTCCCTCCCAGGCACAGGAACTTCCAACAAGATTTTCAGTGGCCTGCTTTTATTTTATTTTTTTGCCTTTTACACTCTTCTTTATTGATTTCAGAGAGGAAGGGAGAGAGAGAGATAGAAACATCAATGATGACAGAGAATCATTGTTGGCTGTCTCCTGCACATCCCCTATTGGGGATCCAGCCAGTAACCTGGGCATGTGCCCTTGACCCAAATCGAACCTGGGACCCTTCAGTCCGCAGGCTGACACTCTGTCCACTGAGCCAAACCGGCCTGCTTTTAAATATAAACAGACAACCAAGGACTCTCAGACACCCAAGGAGGCCTCCAGCAATCACAAAGGTAAAGACCAAAACAAAGAAACAAGATCCAAACTTATGGAAAAGAGATGTTGTAAAGAGAGATGAAAACTTCAAAAACTATCACCGTCCCAGAGAGATAATAAAACATATTGTACCCATGAAATTGGAACAGGATGTTAATTTAAGAGAACATTGAGGGTGGGGGAAGAGGTCTAAGAAATTAAAAATAGGACAGCAGAAACAAAACTCTCAGCAGAAAGGCTGGAAGATAGTTAAGATACTTTTCCACAAAGCAGAGGGAAAAAGACAAAGAGTTGGAAACTAGGAAAGAACAGAAAATATGGAGGCTCTGTCCACGAGAGACAGTGATGAACATGAAGAGGAGAAAGTTGGCACAGAAATAAGGCAGGAAGGTTCTGGGACTGGAGATCACAGGTTTCAGACCACACAGGCCCAGGAAGTGACTGAAACAAGAAAGGGAGACCCACACCAAGCTGACAGCACTGACATGGCCTCCAAGCTACCCAGGAAAAGGTCAAGTTCATGTCAAGTATCAGAGCCAGGATGGCATCAGAGTTTCCAAGAACAATATAAATGACAGAATAAAATGGAGCAGTACTTTCAGAATTCTGAGGGGCGAGGAGGGTGGCGGGGAGGGGGGCCTTTTAGCCAAGAAATTTATTTAAACCATTTTTTCAACTTTTCAAGTAGAAAAGATTTGTTTCCAGACAAGCACATTTCATAAAATTGACCAGAAGACCTCTCAAAAAGATGTCTCCGAGATGAAATTGATAGGACACCTGGTGCGTTTAAATGTCTTGAAGAAGATACTTAGACCAGTGGTCGGCAAATTGCGGCTCCCGAGCCACATGCGGCTCTTTGGTCCCTTAAGTGTGGCTCTTCCACAAAATACCGACTTCTGCGCATGGGCCATGAAGTTTCAGTCGCACTGTATGTGCGCGCCCGCACGTGATATTTTGTGGAAGAGCCACACTCAAGGGGCCAAAGAGCCGCATGTGGCTCGCGAGCTGGTTTGCTGACCACTGACTTAGACAATTAATGGAGAGCTTGAGACTGAATCCATGACACATGTATTCAAAAAGTAACAACAAAACATCTTGTAGGAAAGGAAAAGTAATCGTAACATATCACATGGCTCAGCTGAATATGACATTTAACAATACCAATACCATCAGCACTAAATATTGATTTAACTAGAAATATGCTCTAGTTCTTAAGGCAGGAAGAGGTTGAAAATGTGCATCAGAGTGGTGGGGGCAGGGGTGAGAGGTCCAGAGGCAATGCCAAACACAAGGTTTGTGAGAGGCACACAGCACTACCTTGGATGGTCAGGAAAGTGCTGAGTGAGAGTGGGCACAGAACTCTTGTGTGCTTTTTATTTGAGAGAGGGGGGGGGTGGGAGAGAGAGAGATTGATTTGTTGTTCCACTTATTTATGAAACATTGGTCAATTCTTATATGTGCTCTGACAGGGGATCTAACCCAAAACTTTGGCGTATGGGAATGATGCTCTAATCAACTGAGCTACCTGGCCATGGTTCCTGTATTTCATTTCGGGAGTTATTGGGCTTTTTAAAGCAGTGGTCGCCAACCGGTGGTCTGCGGACCACTGGTGGTACATGAGGGCTAAAAAGGTTGGCGACCGCTGTTTTAAAGTACATACATATATGTCGTTGATAAAGTCAAACTACAAGAGACTGGGGATACAGAGGAGAGAAGCAGCTGCTCCTGTTTGGAAAAGCTTGGCCACAAAAGGGAAGAGGGTGGAGATTAGACAGGAATGAACTGGTGTGGGGCAACTCACAGATGCCCAGGGAAAGGGCCGGTATGAGAGGGAAGAGTTGAAACAGCAGGGAGATGGGGATGGAACAGGGAAGGGTCTGGATGCAGAGCCCACTGAAGCCGTAGCCCAGCATCATCCAGTGGGAGTGCAATGTGTAACAAATGTTCTAGTAGCCACATATTAAAAGAAAACAGTGGACATTCATTTTAATACTAAATTTTATTTAGCCCACTATACCCAACATGTTGTCATTTCAGTAATGCAATCAATATTCAAATCATGCATGAGATATTTTACATCCTCTTCTTGTACAAATCTGGGGATTTACAGCAAACCAGTGCATGGTCTGACTCACAGCACTTCTCAGTTTGGACCAGCCTCACCTCCGGGTTCATGGGTGGTGGTGGTCACCATAGTGGACAAGGCAACCTTAGGTCTGATTAGGTCACCCACCTTCACCTCTTTCCCCAGAGAGAACCTGGGATTCCCACAGGAAGAAACACACACACCACTTTGCCAGGCCCTGCGGGTTGTCCACCCTCAGGCCCCCGCAACTTGGTGCCCTGCACTGCCTCGCTGCTCCTCTTCCCAAGCCCTACAGTCCAAGAACCCAGCTTCCTGGGCCCTGAAGATGCCCAATGCAAGCCACCCCCACTTCCCACACTCAGGTGACTCTCAGTCTCGCCACCAGCCCCCATACACCTCTGGGCCTCGATCTTGGGTTCTCCACGTTAGAATTAACGCCTTCCTTTTTCATGTCTGCACTTAACCATCACGTTACAGCCCCGGCCTTCCTTCACTCTGTCATAGATGCCCAAGACTTAGACCCAGCCTAGGAGAGAGCAGGGAGGCTCCCGGGCCCTGCCCCCCTACTCTACCCCACTTCCACCCCGCGCTCCGCGGGATCTCGGTCGGCTACGGAAGCACATAGAGGGAAATGGCACTGCAGGCCCATGGAGAGGGCACCTGCTCCGCCTGGGAGCCCCAGGCGATTTATGGAGCAGGCAGGCGGGCTGGGTTTGCCGGGTGAGCCTGGGGCGGGGGCTGCAGGCCAGGAGCACGGTCCTGGGAGACTGTCCCGCGGGCGCACTTGGGCTGAGCAAGGGCCCTGACGCCCCCACCCGCGCTCCTGCAGGCCATTGCAAGTCACATGCACCTCAAGTGCAAGTGCCACGGGCTGTCGGGCAGCTGCGAGGTGAAGACCTGCTGGTGGTCGCAGCCCGACTTCCGCGCCATCGGCGACTTCCTTAAGGACAAGTACGACAGCGCCTCGGAGATGGTGGTGGAGAAGCACCGCGAGTCGCGCGGCTGGGTGGAGACGCTGCGGCCGCGCTACACCTACTTCAAGGTGCCCACGGAGCGCGACCTGGTCTACTACGAGGCCTCGCCCAACTTCTGCGAGCCGAACCGCGAGACCGGCTCCTTCGGCACGCGCGACCGCACCTGCAACGTGAGCTCGCCGGGCATCGATGGCTGCGACCTGCTGTGCTGCGGCCGGGGCCACAACGCGCGCGCGGAGCGGCGCCGGGAGAAGTGCCTCTGCGTCTTTCACTGGTGCTGCTACGTGAGCTGCCAGGAGTGCGCGCGCGTCTACGACGTGCACACCTGCAAGTAGGGGCGCGCCGGGCTCGGTGCCGGCCCCACCCGGACGGGGCGGGGTCCTCTGGTGGAGCCCGCGGGCGGCCAGAGTAGCCGGCGGTTCTTCCCGACAGGTTCGGAGCTCCTCCCGGATGGGGCGGGGCTGGGGGGGGGTGAGGCTTTTGGATTAGGGCGGGGTCTTCTCTGGGGACCCAGCTCCCTTGCTGGGAATTCCGCACTGCCACCTCCTCCTAGCAGCCCACTTGTAAGGTTCCATCCAACCCAACTCTTCTATGTAGAGCAGCTCTCCTGACAAACAGCGGCCGAGACCCCTGTCCCCCAACCTCTTCCTCTGAAGTCTGGGGACTAGGGGCCCTCCAAGTCTGGTGCTCTGGAAAAGCCTGACATCTGCCAGCGCTCTCAACCAATCCAACGGAGAGAGCCACGCCTTGCAGAGCCCCAAGAACCAGCTGGGCCTGGGGGAAGGAGGGGCCTGGAGGCTGGGCCCTGAAACCTGTGTGAGGCATCAGACACCAGGCGCTCTTCCCAGGAACTGTTACTGCTCTCGCCCAAGCCCTGGCTGGAACATCCCCCTGTGGAGCCCGTCCACCTCCCTTCCTCAGGTCTTTCACCTGCACCCCATCCACAGGAGAGGAGCATAGCCTCCTGTCCCAGCCTGACCCTGCCTCCCTTTTGGCCTCAGCACCTCCCCCACCTTCCTCATCCACAGCCCAGACCCCACATCTGCCCAGGACTGTTAGCCTGCACCACCCAGCTCCATCATCCTGCCTGGGAATCTCATTTGGGGTAGGGTTGGGTTGTTTGGGAGGTTTCAGTAGGAGGAGCCACACCTGGGGGCTGCAGAGGACCCTCAGCCCCCAGAGGAGTGGTATCCCCTTGCAGCCCTGGTAGTTAGGACTGATCCCCTGGGTCTCCTGCTGCAGCTGTGGTGTGCCAGACTTGCCACACTGGCCACTGTCCTGGAGCATGTGGCTGGCTGCTCAGCCAGCCTCACCTGACTAATCCACCCAGCCCAGGAAGTACTGACTTCTGGACCCCTCAGCCAATGCCCAGGCCAGGCCTCTTCTCACTCAGACTCTGCCACTGTGAAACATCCCCCAGCCCCTAGGCAGGGGGAGACCAGCCAGATAGGGATGGCTGCCCGCCTCCGAGGACAAGACCTTCCTCTGCCTTGAATTTTGTGTTTTTGGTTTTAATTTTATTTCTGATGCTGCTATATTCACCATACACTGGAGCTAATCAAACAGATGTGTTGTTGTTTTTTCCCTTTTCTTTCTATGAAAGAAATTATTTGAGTCGTAGCTTGTGAGTTTCCAACAATGGGGAAGTAAAAGACAAAAAAAAAAAAAAAACACAAAAAGCAGAAACAACCAAACGCTGTGGATTGTGCTGGATTTCTGGTGGTGGATTGGGGTAAGGCATGGAGGCTGGATTGGTGGTGACCTCTGGGACAGAAGACACCCATGAGCCCGGGGAGGAGGCAGTCAGCATGCACCTCAGAGACTCCTGGGGTCTTGGAGGTGGCCTCCAGAGGCCAGAATTCCAGAAAAAAAGAGGGACCGCCATGCCAAGGTAAAGAGGGCACAGCCATGGTGCTGAGGTCTGGGGCAGGCAAACTAAACCCAGGCAGAAGGCTCCAGTGAGGTGCAGGGAGGAGGAGGAAGCCTGCCTATTGCAGGGGTGGTGCAATGCAGTGAGCAGGGTGGAGGCCCCACGAGTCAGTGGAGCAGTGGGACATCCACCAAGTCAACCAAAAGCCACTTCCCCAAACGTCCATGACATTCAGCTGACGTTTTAGTGCTGGCTATGTGGCCGCGCCCTCTGGGTTTGGGGACATGGCCTCTGTGTGGGGTCCCCATTGTGGCCCACCCCAGGATGTTCCAGGAGCCCAGCCTGTCTGGGAGGCAAGAGACAGTCCTTCAACCAGAGGTTTGCCCAGATGAGGCCTAGAAGTTGCCCTTGTCTACCCTCACTGGGCCTATGCAGGCAGTGCTGGTTGGGGCCTCTGGAAACTGGAAGGGGGAAGGGGGCTTTCCCAAGGCCACACCTTTGCTTCTCCAAGCTGGGTGCAGGCTCCCTGCACCTCTCTCTGCCCTTCTGAGCCCACCCCCTCATCACCACCACCGCCTCTTGAGCCAGACTCAAAGGGAGGGAGAAAGCTGAGGAGGGTGGGGGTGGACAGGCTGGGACAGGTGGAGGGTGAGGAGCATAAAGGGGAAGCTGAGGGCAGGAGGCCCAACCCCCACCCTCTCCAAGCTCAGGCCCTATGTAGGCCACTTGCTGGAAGGAAAGAAGGTGGGAGGAGGGGGGAAGAGGGAGGGAAAGGAGGAGACCTCACAAGGAATCCCCAGCCAGCTGATGGTGGAGAGAGGGGGCTGAGGCAGCTGTTTGTGAGGTTAGGAGGGAGGAAGGAGGAGGGAGGGGTCTGCATGGCTTTGGGGAGCAGGGCCTGCCCCTGCTACTCACCACCACTTCAGCTTTTTCCCAGATCTTGGGGTAGGCTGACCTCTACTCTGGAGACATGCACCCCTACTGACTCCACTCATCCTTTCAGCTTTGCCACCCACTGCCTCTGCTTCCCACCACCACCCTTGGGTACAGACTCTAACCTGGTCCCTACCTAGGAGCCCATACCTGCCCCAGATAAGCTCTATGCCCAGTACACACACTTGACCAGGGCCCACTTGGGCACATACTCCTGCCACTAAAACATCAGGCCCCCTCTCTCCACCATCAGCTGGCAGGGGATTCCTTGTGAGGTCTCCTCCTGGCCCCCACCTTACACCATGGGCCCAGGGAGTAAGAGAGCAATTACTGGCTCTGCAGAGGGTCCTGGACAGGGGTGTGCAGAAACAGGGCAGGGGTCCTAGACGGGGGTGTGCAGAGGCAGGGCAGGGAGTCCTGGACAGGGGTGTGCAGAGACAGGGCAGGGGGTCCTGGACAGGGGTGTGCAGAGACAGGGCAGGGGGTCCTGGACGGGGGTGTGCAGAGACAGGGCAGGGGGTCCTGGACGGGGGTGTGCAGAGACAGGGCAGGGGGTCCTGGACGGGGGTGTGCAGAGACAGGGCAGGGGGTCCTGGACGGGGATGTGCAGAGACAGGGCAGGGGGTCCTGGATGGGGGTGTGCAGAAACAGGACAGGGGGGTCCTAGGCGGGGGTGTGCAGAAACAGGGCAGGGGGTCCTGGATGGGGGTGTGCAGAGACAGGGCACCAGCATGGATATCCACTCACAACCACGCCCTGTGCTGGAAGAAAACTGTGGGAGGGCGTGGGGAGATGCCTGGTGGATAGAGTAGGCGCCTATCAGAGTGAGGGAGGCAAGAGGAAGCCAGATTGTGGGAGGTCATGGCTTTGATGGTCAAGACAGGACCTGGAAAGTTCCCTCCACTCCAACTTGCACCCCTCCCCCCATTTCTTATGGCCACAGGGTCCTTGCTGGAGGCTCCAAGCCACTGAAGACAGAGCTAGGTGGGGCCCAGTAAGGCAAAAATACCGGGGACAGACACAGGTCTCCAGGTTCCCAACATCCCTCCCTGCCCCTCATGGGCTGGCACCCCCATGTCCCACCCCAAGCCCATGGCCTCAGTGGCTCAGGGCTGCTGCTCCCCCAATAGGCCTACCCCAGGCTGGGTCACCCACTGCTCTGGGGCCACAGCTGACCACCAAAGATTCCCAAGTGGGACTCTAAGAGGTCAGCCAGGGCCAGATGGGCTGCAAGCAAATGCTCTATAAAAAGGGAACCAGTGATTAAGTGCCCAGGCAGGGGGCTGTAGCACTGACAGCAATCTTTCCCTCGGGGGTGAGTCACAGGAAGGGGAACTGGGCTCTCAGCCCACCAGGCCATCCTAGGCAACAGAGCTGATTAGACACTGCACAGGGGTCAGGCCCTGTAGGTGGGGGTGGCAGGTGCTCAGAGAACCAAACATGGGTGTGCCCACAGTGCAGACAGCACAGACATGCAGCACCTGAGTCAGGGGCTGGGCAGGAGCCATCCTAATTGGCACCTGCTGTGAACTAGGGGCCAGGGGCTCCACAGATGAAAGGGCCAGAGAGACAGCCTAGGCATGGGCGGGGCTGGCCTATGAAAAGAGGCAAGATGGGACCATCCTGGGGGGTCAGTGCAGAGTTGGGTTCTGCCTGTCTACACCTCTGAGTCACAGGACTGCTAACCCCCAACATCCAGGCTCTGTCTGGCCAGGGGCCACTGTGAAAAGAGGGCCTGGTGGGCCTGTTCGCAGGTGGGCCCAGAGAGGGGGTGGCACTGGCCTGAGGACACAGCATGTCAGGGACCCATTCTGGTCTCTGGGTGCTGGATCTTGAGGCCTCACTTCAGTCTGGGTAGCAGTACCAATGTGGAGATGGTCTCAGCTCTACAGAGGTGAGGCACCAGGACAGTGCTTACCTAAGGGGCATGCCCACCATCCCTTCCAGCATGGCTCCAGGGTGGAGAGAGGCAGAACTCCCCAGAAAAGGCCCAGGAGAGGGCGCCCAGGCCCCTAGAGCCACAGGACAGGCCCTATGGGGTGTGGGAAGTACCTGAGTGAGTGAAGAGGGGAAACCCTCAACTCTCCCTACCTCAGTTTCCCTCCAGTGCTAGAGGAAGTGGGATGAGGGGGTGTTTCCCAGGGCCTCTCGGCTCCTGCCTTTTGTTGATGTGGAATGCTCTATCTGGAGCCACTGCTAGAGCCTAGCTGGCTACCCTCTCACCTGCTAAGATCCATCTGCATGTCCCCGTGAACCCCTTGCCCAGCCCCCAGCCTGCCCCTAACCCCCACTCAAAGGGAGGGCAGAGCTGGGCAGCCTGGGGCCTCTGAAGATACTTCTCCGCGGAGTTTATAGCCCGTCCTGCCCGCCCTGGGAGGGAGGAAATGGTCCTGGTGGGCCTGTTCGCAGGTAGTTGAGACAGGAGAGGAATAACCATATTAAAGGCCCCGGAGGTGGTAGGCCCCCACCCTGCCCCAGGGCGCCCTTGGCCCCGCCCCTGCAAATCTCACACTCCCCAAGCAAGGGCTTTGAAGTCCTGCAGGGATGTGGCCCTCCTCCTCTGGCCTCCACTTTCTTGGTCTGGAGCCTCAGTTTCCTTCCTTCAGGGACTTGCTGAGCATCTCCCTAGGGCTGGGAACCTATGTCAGCAGGACCATCCCCCCAGTCTCTACCCCAGCTGTTGAAGTCCCCTGTCCCCCAAAGCAGAGCCAGAGGGTGGGTGGGTGTCAAGACCCTGCTGGACTGAACTTTGCCCCTAAGGCCCTGAGGTCTGGTTTGGGGGATCCGGCCCTTCCGGAAGTCAGGGGGACACAGCCTTACCTTGGGCTCTGGTCTGAGAAACATGGCCCATCCTGGGTATCTGGCCTATGGCCTGGGGTGGCCATACTCCCTTGGCTCTCCCCTACAGTGGACTTCCCGGCCCAGACACCGCAGCCTTCCCGTCTGCCATCCACTTCCTTATTGGGACCCCTTTTCCTTCATGAAACCCTCTGATTGAGATGCCCGAAGGCAAGGCATTCTGAGGTCTTGACCTGACATCAGCAGCTTCCTCTCCAGAGCCCCTTGGCCTCCAGGTCCGAGCAGAAACTAGACACCTGACCCGCCCACGCTGCCCTCCAGCCTTGCATAGTTCAGTGCTGCCTAGAGTCCAGCCTGAATGATGCATGGCCTCCTAGAGCGACATCTAAGGCTCTCAGGGGAACAGGATGGCATCTCTCCCATACACTGGCTGGGGGCACTGCCAGCCTTCCTGTTCATAGGTATCGACCAGTACACTGAAGCCTGCTGGGAGAGGCTACTCTCTGGGGTATGAGTCCATGAAGGTGAGGCCACCCCATTTCCTCCCTTCCTATTCCATCATAAAGTGGGACAACAGGGAATAGCTAACAGATGACACCCCCACCCACCTCACCCTCATTCCACCAAATGACCTTAATCCTAGAGAGTTGGACAATGGCCCCTTTGCCACCTACTGGGTCAGGGGTTTCAAGGGGAGGTGAGCATGGGGCATTGTTTCTCTGGTTCCAACATCCTCAGTCCAGGCCGCTAGGCCTCCTGTACTTTTGAGGACCAGGTAGGGTGCCCAGGGCACTATGGTAGCCCCAGGGAGGGCTGTAGCCTGGGAGCCCCATTGCCCAGCCTGGCAACTGGGACAGTCGCTAGTCAGAAGGTGTTAATTAATATTTAGCTATAGGCTGGCTCCTCGCTTCTCTCTTCTCTCTTCTCTCTTCTCTCTCTCTCTCTCTCTCTCTCTC